ACAGGAGCAGGACAGGAATAGCATCTGTCTGTCAGCTCTTCGAAGCTGGGGGTCTGGCTTCAAGACGCTTCCGGTTCCACCCTTCTCCTCCTCTAAGGAGCATGGTCTGGATAAAATGCACTTGAGACACAGGGCAGAGTGCATGAGGCTTCCTGAAGAAAGCCCCATCAGTGCAGGGCGGATGCTTTTGTGGCCACTCTCCTCCTTGGAATTCATACAGAATTCCATTATCGGCTCTGGACAGCAGCTCAGGGACCACGTCGTCCCTTTCCCATTCAGCAGACAAGAAAGCTGGGGTCCAGAAGGGAGAGAGGACGGAGAAGAGTGTGGCAGGGTTCAGGCTTCCAATTCCCATAACTGTTCCTTCTGGCCCCTAGAGTGACAGCTGCAAGTCCCTGATGCCCACCTCCTTGTCATGGTTGTGTGAGGTGACCTCAGAGCATACTGCCAGCCATCTAAGGCCACACAGCTGAGATTTCTGCCCAGATGCAAGGCAGGACAGAGGGAGATGCTAAGGGAGGACAGAGCAGGCCAGGCAGACAGCTTGAACCTAGACTTAGACCAAGCCTAAGAAGGAAGTGGGTAGGGGACCACATAGACATGAGACCCTGCCCCCAGCTTCTCTGCATAACAGACCAGGAGATCTTAAAGCCGGTCATTCACCCAAGGGTGCAGAACAGGCCAGTAACGGCCTTCCCCCAGGAGGTTGTGCCAAGGCTCAGGCAGGTGAAGCTGAGCAAAGCCGAGATCAACTGTGCATTCCTGCCACTGTGGGCCAGGCTTTGCTCTAAGCTCTGCACCAGTGTGCTGGCATTTGGTCATCACTACAACCTTGCAGCAATGCCACTGTGTCCAAGTCAAAAGGACAATAGGATATGCTTTGCTGAACTTCATTTCTTTCATTTGGAAGTAAATAGTTAGAAATGCCCAACAGGAGTGTTTGTTGGACTGAACTGTTTTTACAGTCTTTGGGGGAAAAGACAAAAAAGAGCATGAAAACGCCCTAAGTTCCAGCAGTCACCCTCTTTCTGTACCTATGTGTTTAGACTTGGGCTCACAGTTATGAGCCTGTTGAGAGATTTCTGAAGTCTGCATCCTTCACTTAACATAAAGCCATGTGCTTCCCCAATATGGTCATCCACACCCATAGAGGACGCCTTCTTGGAGACCCCGCTCCACTCGGGCCAGTTGGGAATTTCACTCTGACTTCAATATTGCAACAGATGCCCTTGGGATAGAGGTTTGTTTTTTTTTTTTTTTTTTTTTTTTGTGATTTGGAGGCAAATCTAGTAAGCTAGTATTGGGAAGCACGGGACAGAAGGCTCTTCTTTATTTTTTGTTTTTGTTTTTCTACACAGGGTTTCTCTGTAGCTTTTGAGCCTGTCCCGGAACTGGCTGGTCTTGTAGACCAGCCTGCCTCTGCCTCCTGAGTGCTGGGATTAAAGGTGTGCACCACCACCATCCGGCTCAGAAGACCCTTCTTGGTGTTCTAGTGATGCAGCTGTACCACCACAGTAGAGTTCATCCCTGCAGAGGTACTCTGAACCTCAGGTGCTCCGCTGGTTTCTTCTGAGCTGCTATCTTAGTTTCTGTGGCTATGAACAGATATCCCGAAAAAAAGCAAGTTAGAGGGCCTGGAGAGCCGGCTCAACAGTTGAGAGCATGTATCACTCTTGCAGAGGACCTGGGTTCACTTCCAGGGGCTCTAATGCCCTCTTCTGATCTCTTAGATACACACATGGTGTGCATACATACATGCAGGCAAAGCACTCATGCACATAGAGTTTAAAACAACCATCACCATCACCACAACAACAGAAGAAAAAAGTTAAGGGGACAGGTTTATTTCAGCTCAGAATTCCAAGTTACAGTTTGCCGTTACAGGGAAGTCAAGACAAGCAGAGTTGGAGCAGGTAGTTATACCCGAGTCAAGAACAGAGAAAGACACGAATGTGTGGATGCTTGTCCCCAGCTGACTTTTCCCACAAGTATATAGTCCAGGACCCAAACCTGCAGTGAGCTGGATTTCCTCATATCAATTAATTCAATTAAGGAAATCCTTCATAGGCACTATCAGGGCCCAAGCTGATCTAGACAGTTCCTTATTGAGACTTTCTCCAGGTGGTTCTACATCACATCAAGTTGACAATCAAAACCATCCATCACATCTGCCAAAGACACACATGTCACCTTCCGAATGAGGTTAAAGGTCTGGGATTTTAGCCTCAGCTGGTTATTAGAGGCCTGAGATACATCACTTCTGTGGGGGCTTTACTGGTCAGTGAATGCATGGGCCACTCTATGGTCTGTCCAAGGGGAAATCCTGATGAAGACCAGGCCAGCTCCAGCTCCTTCCTAGACTTTGTGGACCCTTGGAGCCTTGGTAAGCAATCTGGGCTCTGTTCTGTCATGGAGTGATGAAACCTTTGGACCTCCTGGCATCCACTCGTTTTGTGTATCCTCAGTGCCCTGGACACTAATAGAGGAAGTCCAAGACCCAGCCCAGAGCAAGTATACAGCTATGTACAAATAAGGGCCACAGCGTACAGATAGCTTCTTCTAGACAGGAAGTCAATGCCGACAAGGCTATCTAGTCTCAGGTGCAGCGTCACAGCTGTGCACGCATCCATCACTTATTCTGGGCTTCGTGAGAACCTCTGCCACCTGGCCTTGTCACCTCCCACTTCTCGCCATTCAACACGCTCAAGCTTGTTGCTGCCCCCAGAAGCCTTTGAACATGGGATACCTCCTGGCCCTGTCTTTGCCTGGTTTTCCTGTGACTGGCTTCCATCTTGGCTTAAGTGTCACCTCTCCTAAGAGACCTTTGCCGGTTCCTTGTCTAAAGGACCCACATCTGATGTTAGGACCCTCCCAGCACCAAACACCTCTTTAAAAGGACAGTTTTGACTTAAGCATCCCCCGTTCTGTGTTCATCCAGTGGGGACTAGGAATGCCTACCTCCGTGTTAATCCACAAACATGAGAAATGAGTGCTCGGCCCTCCAGGCACAGCTATCCGTACAGAGCCTGAGTGGACTGAGCACTTCCTACCCGCCAATCACCAGTCTAACGCCTTTATAGGCTGATAATGTGCCCAGCAACACCTGAGTCAGCAACAAGTATTATTTCTGTTTGTAAATGCAGAAACTGAGGCACACATCAGCTGGGCAACTTGCCCAAGATTCTACAGCTATATGGAGGGCTGGAAAACCCGGGCACACATTGTTTTAAAAAAAAAAGTGTGTTGTGTCAGATATGGGCAGTCATTGTCCTCACAGGCTCAGAGACTGGTGGGCAAGCAGGCTTTGTCCCCAATAATCGAAGTCAAGGCCACCATCTATAGGATATGCCACCTCAGCTAATTCTTGAGGACAAGTAGGGTTAGCTGGGGTATAGGACACTCTCTCATCCTGCACAGAGACCAAGAGGGTAGCCAGGCTGAAGAGCTGGAAGCAGGCTCCTTAAGTCGGGAGCACAAGATAATAATGTGGACGGTGAGTTGAGGGCTGTGGTTATCTGAGGCCAAAGCAAAACAAAACAAAACAACAATAATAATAAAATAAAGTCCCAAGGGGCAGAACAGAACAGAAAGCAGTGTGACTAGGAAGTAAACAAGATTATGCAGAATCTTGGCAAGACCAGGTCCCCAAATGTTACTGAGAGATTTCTCAGCCACACTTTCAGGACTGCCATAGACCTTGGCTTCCTGGTGCCAGAGGGTACTTTGGAAACTGCTGCTGACTCGCTGGCTGTGTGACCTGGTCTTTCGCTCCCAACTGGCACTGGAGGACCCGGTCCCCAAGGACATCCCCACTCCATCAACTTTGCATCCATAATAGATGATATGCTCCAGGAAGAGGCCGGCATCCCCAGAGTCCAGTGCTGGGTCTCTGGCACACTGACCTTACCCCACATTTGCTCTGGCTGATCTACCACCCCCGGGTTTGCCTGGCTGCCTCTGAGCAGGAGACTGAGCTCTCCAATTCCTTGATCCTTCCAAGGTGTGGGTGCTCCCCCAGGTTAGGATTGGATGGGGGGTCTGCTTAGATCCTTCCAGAGACAAAGGAGCTGACCCGCAAAGAGTTCCAGCAGGAGCCCTGCTCCCCCTCCCTTCCCCTCTCTCCCTTCTCAGTCCACGTGTCTCTATTGTCTGCTCCCCCGCTTCAGGGAAAGACACAGCCTCGGATGTGTCAAAACCACCACCCCCCGGCAGCAGGGAAATTAATTACTGGGCGATTTTCACTTCCTCTCGCAGCGCTCGCTGGAGCTAGGCATTGGAACAGGACCCGCTGAGTGAGGCCGGCATCGGCATGGGGGAGCCGCTCCTTCCACCAGTTCGGAAAAAGAAAGTTGAATCCCAAACCCAACAGGGGGCTCTAGTAGGAGCCCAAGCTGGGGGCAGGGAAACTTCTAGTTAAATCTGGGCATCCACACTGCCACTTTAGAACTGGGGCAGAGGGAGCCGACTACAGACAGAGGGTGGTGGCTGGCCAGCTCACTCTTTTCATCCCCCTCCCCGAGTCCCCATGTGCCTGATACCACTTGCGCGGGGCCGCTTACCCTTCAATCTCCTTGTCTTCTCCCTGTATTTCGCACCTTTTTTCCCTTTCTTCGCATCCACTAGAGGGTGTGTGCGGGGAGGAGGGGGCTTCCTTTTTATGTGTCCTGACCTCTCTTTTTCTCCTGCGGGTGCCTGAGTGTGTGTTGCCACTTTCTCCCTGTGCCTTTCTTGTCTGTTTCTCTCTCCTGTCTTTTTGTCCTTCTCTTAGTTTCTCTCTCTCTCTCTCTCTCTCTCTCTCTCACACACACACACACACACACACACACACACATACATTTGCGCACACAGTCTGATTCATTCTCTCTCTCTCTCTCACACACACACACATTCGCGCACACATTCTGATTCATTCTCTCTCTCTCTCTCTCTCTCTCTCTCTCTCTCTCTCTCTCTCTCTGCGCCTGTGTCCCTCTCACTTTCTCCCCTCCTGCTTGTTCGTTCCTCTCTGCGCCTGGCCTGCCCCCTCCGCCGGTTCAGGGGAACGTGTGCGGAGCGATTGTCCTGGGGGACATTTGATGGATTAGAGCGCTGAACAGTTCCATTGCTGGGGGACCACCTGATCTCCTCCAGCCTGCGTCCCATATAAAGCCGACAGCCGGAGTGCTGAGCACAGCTCCAGCGACCGCCAGTGTGCGCGCCGCCGCCGCCGCCGCCGCCGCCGCCGCCGCTGCCGCGCCCGAGCGGCACCCGAGCCGGAGCCGAGGCCGTCGCCACCCAGCCGGCTCCGCGGCGGCCCGCCCGCTGGGAGCTGTCCAGTGCTGAAGCCCGCGCCGACAGCCAATCGCGCCGGCCGGCTGCCTCCCCCACCGGGCCGCCAGTGCCCCGCGAGCCCCCCGCCCGGCGGCACCATGCCGCGTTCCTTCCTGGTGAAGAAGATCAAAGCGGATGGCTTCCAGTGCAGCGGGGTGCCAGCCCCCACCTACCACCCCCTGGAGACTGCCTACGTGCTGCCCGGCGCCCGCGGGCCTCCGGGGGACAGCGGTGAGTGGGCCCTAGGGGAGGGGAGCGAGGGCTCCCCAACTTGGGTCACAGAAGAGAACCCCAGAGGAGACGTCCCAGGCCGAGTGCGCCCCCCCGGGACTTCCTGAGGGCCTGCCGGGCGGGGCTGGGGCTAGGTCGTACAAAGGAAAGTGGTAGGGTCGACTAATCCCGCAGCCACGCGCCAGCCGGGACTTGGAAAGTTGTGACCCTAGAATACGGCTGGAGTGAGGGGGTGACAGAGAGAGGACACCCCTAAAACGCTAGTGGGGGCGGCTTGGAGTAACCCCTCAGTGTTAAAGGAGGAAGACTGGCTGACTGTATGATCCCTGATAGGAAGGTAAGGGACCAGGACTGCCAATCCCTGTGGAGAGGCGATTGGCTCTTTGGGGAAAGTGGGTGCACCCCACCTCCCTTCAACCATACTCCCCCTGGCAATGCCAGACAAGTGCTCTCCAGCCCTCCTCTCTCCAACTCTTTTGTTACCCTCTGCCACATGCCTGCCAAAGGCTGGGCCTGTCCTAGGGACTCAAAAGATGAGATTATTGGAAGGGGTTCCCCCAGGGTGCCTTCTGGTCCATTGGACGGCACTCATCCTCTCTGGCTTCTCACCCCTAACAACTAAACCTGCTGCTTCTCTGAAACCCTCTATGTCCTGCCCCACCCCCACTCTGCATCTCTTGTTAGAGCAAGTTCTTCTAAGGGAGAAGGGCTTGGGGGACAAGAGAGGTCATTCAAGACCCAAAGGGGGTGACATTCAGATATCAAGAGAAGGGTGCTTCTGTGAAACTGTTTCTCACCAAGGGGATGGATCATGATAGCACTCAACAGCCCTACCAGGACAGGTGTCTGGGAAGGAGGAGTCGCTTTGGTCCATGAGACCTCTGACATCACAGGGCTAGGAGAACAAGAGCAAGGTACTAAGAATGAGTCTGAACTGGGAATGGAAGTGGCAAGCAGAAACCCAGGAGGTTGGGGGCAACTCCTAAGAGACTTGCAAGCGCTCAGCCACTTGCCAGCACTCTGCCGAGCCAGGTGAGAGAAGGTGCTGAGCAAAGCGCTCTGTGACCTCATCAAGGTCACAGAAGTTAGGCAGCCATCAGGGTGCTTCTTAGAGCCCCTCAGCTTCTGGCTTCACTTAGCTACCCACAGAGCCCTCCACTCCTTTGCCCCCATCTCCCACTCCGCTGTCCTCTTTTCTTAACCTCCAGGACCTTGGGGTGGAAGGCAGAAGCCCAGGAGATGTCTGGGCTGAGGGCTGGCAGGACAGAGGGTGGACCTGGAGTTGTGCCAAGACTGGGGAACATGTGTGGGGAGCTGGTATGAAGGAAGAGAAGTCTCTGAGGGTTTGGGGTCCATAGGATCCCTTAGGAGACGGACATAAAATTCTCCTGAGGCCCCCTTGATCCTGTCCCTGAGCCAACCGAGGAAACCCCAAGAATTTCACAGCCAAACTGAAGGCTGTTGCTCAGGACAGAAGCAAGAAACGCCTGGCCTTGAATTTTGTTGATAGACCCCCACATGAATGATGGGGAATACAGATGGAGATGGAGGCATCTTTACAGAGGTCCCACCAGGTGCAGCAGCCTAGAACTGCCCCTGCCTTTGTCCCTTTCCTAAAGAGACAGATCATCAACTCCTTGCCCTCTGGGAGAGCCTGGAGCTGCTCTAGCTACATGCCTGGCTTGGGACTCTATAGAGTAGCTCTGGATCTGTGACGACCTTGGGCAAGTGCCCCTTCTTTGGTCCTCAGCCTCCCCAGCAGTGCAAGCAAGAGCTTAGATGTCATGTACTAAGCATCCCTCCAACTTTGACAAGCTAGGTTTCCATGGAAGGTTAACTGATGTCAGAGACACTGGATCTAAGGGGGTGCTGGGATCTGCTGTCACGGTTTCCTTGGGGCTCTCTTCACCCACTATGTCTGAGAGACAAAGTTTTCCCAGATTAGGTCTGTGCCAGCTGCCTTGTGGTAAAGGCGTCTTGCCCTGTCTGTTGTGAATGGTTAGTGTGGAAATCAGGATGGCCCATGTAGCCTTTCACCTAGAAAACATAGGGTCTACTCTGTCTTGTTTTGCATGGACATCCTCCCTCCATGGGGTGTGGCAAGACCGGGCAATGAGGGCTCCCTGAGAGGGTAAGTGTTCTGAGGGTCCTCAGAGAGCCTGCTGGCTCCTGGTGGCCCGGTTGTCTCTCCGCTCTGCCGGAAATAACCTTGCTGAGCATTTGAGAGAAGTGTGAAAAATTGCTGAGCTGACGATTTTCCCCCTCTCTCCCAGCGTGTGTAAGTGTGCTGTGTAAACAAGGGGAAAGAAAGGAGGGGGAGAGGAGAAGAAACAGGGAAGGATGGAGGGAGAAGGAGGAAGAAGGGAGGGCCTGGGGCTGGAGGGAGTTCCAGTTATTAGAAAGATCCTCTTACAAGCCATTTCTGCAGCTTGGGCTTCAGGGTTAGGATGAGGCTGGAGGTGGGGGTCATGGAGGGAAAGAACTGTGGATGCAGAAGCCAGAGGAATAGGCTTTCTCATAATGGCAGAGAACTCCAAGTGAGGTGAACCCCCATCTCTGGGAGTGCCTAAGAATTGTAGAGAATTCCTAGAGAACACCCCCCACACACATCACAGACACACACATACTCCCTCCCCCACCCTTTTCTAGTCTCTTTTTAGCCTCTAAAGGTAAACATCTTGTGTACATGGTTCTAGACTGACTCCAGGGTTACAGAATCTCAAATAGAGAAGGGACGCCCCCTCCAAGTTGGAAGAACTCAGGACAGAGTCTTCCAGAGCTCCTACAAGAAAAGAGACAAAGTCCTAAGTCCCCTAGCTTTCAACAAGCCTTCTCCCCTTGGTGACCTCCATGGGGCCTTCTCTTCTCCCTGTTCCCAGGGTGTCTCTGAGCATAGATTTATCTCTCAGAAGTGCCAACTGTTATTCTCCTTCCTCCCCACAAAACCTAGCCCTCCAACTCTACCAAGCCCACCCTCCTAGTCCCAGAGCCCATTGCTCTGTACTGGGACTCTGCAGTTCGGACAAGGCAGCTGCTTACTGTCTGCGTATCAGTGGTCTCTGTGGACCCCTGCCAAAGACATCTCCCCTCACACATGCCTCTGACCTCCAGCTGGGAGCCAGGGCCCCTCCCTCTCTACCCCAGCCCTGTCCTACCCACACCCTTTCAGAGTGCACCCTCCTGGCAGACAGGGATCAATGCCGATCCAATAACACAGTTGTCTGCCCTCTGCAGCTACATTAAGTCTCCCCCAGCAGGCTCAAGAGCGCTCCTATCCTACCCATGGGCTTATCTAGCTGACCACATTACACCGGCTTCCACTTCCTTTCACTGCCTCTGATGGCGCCGAGTCGTCGCTCCAGAGCTGGGCCTGGGAACCCAGTTAAATAGACCTATCTTTCCCACACCTCAAAAAGTCCATCTGGGGATGCAGGGGACTACCCAAATCCCTCAGCTGAGGGACCCCAGAGAAGGCTGGGTGGGTGCCCAAGAACACACACCATGTATTTGTAATCATGTGTTGATCTTGATCTAGAGCTGAGGTCCAAGTTAAAGACATGTTCGTGTCCAGGTCCCATGTTTATATCCAACTTCAGGTGGAGGAGTAGGCCCAGACTCTAGGTCCAAAGTGAGTGCCTAAGCTTACAGGACCAGGCCCGGTATCCAGAGCACATTCAATGCCTAGAAACTGCTCCAGCTCAAGATTCTGTCTGGGTCCAGGACTAAGGTCTAGGTCCAATTTCCAGTCCAAGGTCATTCCAGATCATTTCAAGCTTGCCTAAGGTAGAAATTTTGGGGGTAGCTTTAGCTTATCTTCCTCAGCCTCAGTTTCTCTGTCATGACAGAGTAGCTGAGCATGCCCTAGGTCAGCTCTGACTGGGGACTCAAGAATCAGTTTCCCTATCAGGGCTCAGTAGGGGTATGGAATAGTAGGACCCACCCAGAATGAGAGATCTGGGTCCCTAAGGGAGATGGAAGCTGGCCGTGATTCCCGAGAGAGGGCAGGAGAGCACTCCAGGCCCAAGGTCTCTGGGGTCACACATGCGTGCACACATACTCACCTTGCAAGGAGAGGACAGTTTGGTAGAATTGCTGCAATCTACAGAGGGGAAAAAGGCAGGGAGGGTGCCTGGGATCTAAAGATGATGGAGCCTTGCATAGATCCATATTGAGTGCTCTAGGGCCCATAGCCTGGGGGCCTTATGGGGATGGGGGAGTAGCCTGAGATGCTGTTGGGCAAGCTGGAGGCCCCAGGCCCCTAGGCCTGCTTTCCTGGTGTTTCCTCCTGGAGTGAGTGTCTGCTGCCAGTCTCTGGGAAAGGGGCTTTGGAAGGGGATCTTTTGATTGTTCTCTTCTGGGGCAGAGAAAGGGAAGGGCAGGAATGAGGAACGCGGAAGAGAAGGTAGACTGTGTGCAGTACACCTGTGCTCAGGAAGCCCAGAACCAGACAAGCAGAGGGGAGCAGGACGTGGCCTCAGCAGCCAGTGCTGGTAACTCTGGACCCCAAGCCACTGCTCCCATCACCACAGCCCCTCGCAAAGTCCTTCCTATTGATTCCCACGGAGCCATGGACCTCCCTGTGAGACACAGGAACTGGGTCACTGTCAGGAAAGCCCAGAACATAGGGAATTTCAGAAGTCAGGGTGGGGGAGGAGAGTTGGAATTCTCTAGAAGCCCCTTGGGCCTGTATCAGTGGGCATCGGCCCCGGGCTCTGCAGCCCTGGTTGTGTTCAGCCAGACCCCTCACTCTGCCCCCTGCACCCCTGTGGGCAGATGTACCAGCTGCCAGGCCTTTAGAGAAGGTGGGTGTCATTCTGGTCCAGTGCCCAGGGAACAGCTAACAAAGATGCTATAATAGGGGGAGGGGGAGGTACCCAGCCCCTTTGCCCAGCTCTGCGAGCAGACAGGAGAAACTATTTTTATCCTGCTTTGCTGCTGACAGACCTGGCTTTCTGCTCAGCTGGCTGGCGCTGATTCTTGAGGCCTGAGGCCCTGGCACA